GTTTTTGCCCCGGGGGGCGGGCGCCGGTGGGGCAGGCTGGTTCCCTTTCGCCAGCCGGGGGAAGGCGCCCGCGTGCCAGGAGCGATGCAGCGGCGAGGGGCTGCGGGCGCGCTTGTGCGGGGTTGCTGCACGACGTAGGGCTGTCTGCGAGGGGGGAGGAACAAGCTGTGCGAGCCCGCGCCGCCGAAGGCGGACCCCTGTGTTCTCTGGGGTCTCTGAAAGCAGCTTCAGGCCGCGCCTGGGTGCTCCTTGAGCGCTTGGGTGAGGCGTGGGTTTGCAGGGAAGAGCTGGCCAGGGCGGAGAGGGGCAGGAACTGCCCTGGTCCCCTCTGTCTGCGCAGAGGGGTGGCGTAGCGCGTGATGTGGCTGCAGCGGGGTGCCCCGCGCAGGAGCTCCCCTTGCTCAGGAGCCTCACGGGAAGGTCTCTGGCTTTCTCGCGCCCTGGCTGCCGAAGGGCCACGTGCGACCTTAGCCCACCCGTTGGATGCCTCCCCCGTCTTCTCCGAGGGACCCTGGGGAGGTGGGGATTCCCTGGAGAGGGGGAGGGAGGTTCCCTCCGTCTGAGCGGTTGGCCTGCGTGGCGCCATCGAGGTGGGCTCTGGTGCAGCGTTGGGGGGGGGGGGGTGCTGCGGCAAAGCATTTTCCCAGCCCGCAGGCTGGTCTAGGAGGGCTGACTGCGCCGTGTGCTGTTCCCCCCCTCTCACCTGTGGGCAATGCCTTTGGTGTCCCAGGGCTCTGCTGTACCTGCAGGAGCTGGCAGAGGAGCTGACGTCCGTGTGCCAGCCCCCAGCTCCCGCGGAGGGTGCCCAGGAGCCAGAGCTCGAGTGTGTCCAGAAGAAGCGTCGTAGCCGGAGGAAGAAGGAAGAGGAAACGGACGGTGACGACCCTGTGCGAGATGCTGACTTTGTGCCCTCAGAGGAGGTGCTGTTGCAGGCGGAGGAGGAGGAGGGGAGTGATGCGCCACTCAGTGAGGTCTCGGAGTCGGAGCCGGAGGCTCTCCGGGGACACAGTGCAAAGACGTCGTCTGCAGGGGTAATGGCAGGCTCTTTGCCTTGGCTGCTTCCTACTCCTCGCCTGGGGTAAACAACACAGTGTGTTTCAGCTGTAGCGTGGTGCCCCTATCCCTAGATATTTGGGGGCAAGGGCACCCTCAAATAGCCCTCAAGCAGGGTTCTGTCAGGGAGGATGTGGCAGCCGTCAAGTATGAAGCCAGGCACAAGCTCCTTTGTCTTAACAGCAAGCAGAGGCAGTTTATAGC